GGCCCTTGCAGGGCCAGGATTAGAGTGAGGCAAGTAAGTGGTGGCCAAAAACCTCAGCAATCAAGATGAATAATACGTTACTAATCTAACAAATCAAATTAATGCAAAAAATTCACGATGAACAAATTATTAAAATTTTACATGAAGACAGGATCTTTGCATTTCTGAGGACAGGATCTTTTCCAGTCTGAGATTTCAAGCACCAGCAATTGCTTCAAGGGGGGAGTAAGTCCACTTCTTCATGATGCAGGGATGGAGAGAAATTTGTAGGTAACAGGCCTCATATGCCCTTATTCACCACTTTGCTCAAAGTGACGCCATTTCTTTTGTCTGCACTATAGGTAAACACCTTAATCATGGCTTGTGTATTCAGTGACTGGGTGGGAGTGTTCACCACCTTTTCTTAAGATCTTTATCAGTGTTGCCTGGGTTAACTTGAAAGCTTCCCCGAGATAGACTTTCAGCTGAAATCTAAAATGGCCCTCACAATTAGACATATGGGCTGGGCAACGGTGATGATGATCAGTGGCACCCTAGTAACCCCCAGAAATAGAATAGAATTGTTTTGTGAAACCTGCATGCACGACTACTATGTGATGAACAGTGCTGGGACCCAGGGGGGTTCAGAGGCAGAAAAGAAAATAGGTTAAATCCACTTTGACCATATGTGGGAGCCTGGGTTGGCATTCTCAAGAGGTACCACTGGTACTTAATTTTTTCTTTGTTTCCTTTCGCCCAGTGGGTAGAAAGTCCCCTCCTTGGGCAGACACCAGTTGTGCAATGATGAATGAAAGGGTTGTGTGCTGGGTATTTTCCATTTTTTCCCACCAGATCCACTTTCTCAACAAGGATCCCTGGTGCTCTCTCTTTGAGTTGGGTTAGGAAAATGGGAGGCAACAGCAGAAGATAGAGGAGGGAGAAGAGAAGGGTTGGGGTATTTAGTGCCCTGGCTCCCTTCCAGCTGGGCTTCAGATTGGCTGCATTCCTCCACTGAAGGACCCAGCTGTTCAGTGCCTCTTCTCAGTTGTTGTCTCTGAGCTTTGTAACTACTCCCTCCCCCTGTCTCTTGAGACCTGGGGTAGGGGGTGTTCTAGCCCTGAGAGGTCTCAGCATTCCTCATTTGTTTCCTTAACCCTACCCACACCTTGTAAATAGCCTTATATTAAACCCTCTTCCTCCATGGACCTCTGTTGGTGTGGCATCTGTCTGTGGCAGGACCCTGACTGATGTCAGTCGTAGGTGCCTATCACCCAGCAAAGGTGGGGCACAGTCCCGGCCTCAGGACCCTTGACTCTGGCAGTTACCTTTCCCCTTAGAGAATAAAGCAGCCCTGCCTGGCATTTCCTGGCTATAGATCCTGTGCACAGTCAGGTGCACCTGTGAATGAGTGAGCTGCAGGAAGTTTAAAGAATGGAGGATTCCCATTAGCATCATTTCTGCCCCTTTGGATTTAAAATATTCAAGAATGAGAAGCTTAGTTAGCTTAGATGCAAACTATTACATATAGAACGGATAAACAACAAGGTCCTACTGTACAGCACAGGGAACTATATTCAGTATCCTGAGGTAAATCATACTGGAAAAGAATATTTAAAAAAGTGTGTGTATGTGTGTGTGTGTGTGTGTGTGTGTATGTAACTGAATCACTTTGCTGTACGGCAGAAATTAACAACATTGTAAATCAACTATACTTCAATTAAATAAAATAAAAAAAACAATGAGTGGAAAGCCCCTAGTTAGCTCAAATAAATACAGCCCCAGCAATTATGTTACTATTAAGCTTTCTTCCTTGTTCCAAAGTACTGGGAAGAGCAGACATTTCAGGCCCCAGACAAGATGCTCTGTATCTCTGCAGCTGTGAAGATGACAGGCGATATCAAAAGATCAAGGGACTTTGCTGCGCTCACTAAGGTACCATCTGCATCCTCCTGTACCTTTAACTTGGTGTCTCATACCTAATGGCTTCCAGGACATCCCCAACCCCCTTTTGTACCACCTCTGTCTCCAGGTATGCCTCAACAAGGAAGCACTGTAGCCCTGGTAACTTGGGCAGGTAACTTACAACTCTAAGGAAAATCGACCTTAGGTGAAGCTAAGGACAATGGAGTGGAGGAGTGGAAAGAGCCTGAGTTCTTGAGGACGTCATTGAGAAGCTGATCAACACTGTTACTGGAGCCCATCCTAATTCTGGACTTATCCTACAGTGACACAGTGAGAGGAAGCTGTACAATCAGCCTTTTACACTGGTGCATTAAAAAAAAAAAAAAGCTGAGTGGTAAATTTAATGTGGCATAGACATAGTGGTCACCAGCCAGCAATGGAAAGCAGTGGAATCAAATACTGCATGTGAAAGCCTGGTGCGCAGGGCTTGGGCCATCAGAGCTGCTTCACTGTTCACTCAGCCTCACTGAAAGCAGGTCTTCCGTAGCAAGAAGACCTGATTCCTTTTAGAAAGAGTGCCACTGCTTAGGTTGATTTCTTTCTTGCTTTGAGAGTTCTCACAAGCAGCAATATTAATAGAGTTGTTTTCTTTTTCTTTCCCAAGCTAGCACTGAAAGTGCTGATGAATATAAATAAAAATGAACCAGTCAACAAAATCTAAGTGATAGCAGTTAGAATGATGAATACCTTCAGGTGGTAAAGAAGATGGGTGTGTGTGTGTGTGCGCGCATGTATGTGTGTAAATTCAAGCTCTACACTAGATTTTGCATGTATAGATTGCATTTCAATTTCATTTTTAAAAATGAGTCATATGAGATAGGCTAGCTGATAAGTGATACTGTGTATAAAAAAACTTTCTTCCGGGCTTCCCTGGTGGCGCAGTGGTTGAGAGTTCGCCTGCCGATGCAGGGGACACAGGTTTGTGCCCCAGTCCGGGAAGATCCCACATGCCGTGGAGCGGCTGGGCCCGTGAGCCATGGCCGCTGGGCCTGCGCGTCCGGAGCCCGTGCTCCACAATGGGAGAGGCCACAACTGTGAGAGGCCCGCGTACCGAAAAACAAAACAAAAAACTTTCTTCCTACTCCTAGCTCTGCCATGGATCTGTCTTCCATACTGCTGATCACAGCTTGAAACTCTAATATGTAACCCACTTGATAGAATTTTAAATAGATTCACAGAAAGTTGCAGCTAAGGCTAAAGAAGGCCTGGAATCTTCTATGTTTGAACTTTTGGAAGCCCTGAGTCACCACATAAGTCAGGCTACCCTACTGAAGAGACCACATGGAGGGAGAGGTCATGTACCAACAGATGGAGATCCCAGTCTTCCCGTCATCTCTGCCAAGGCAGAGATGAATGATACCTTCTCGAAGGTCAAAAAATTCCAATTATATGTATATTAAGTATGTAAAACAACACAGCCCTAAAAACTATGTAACACATGCTTCTTTTGTGATATTCTTCTCCATGGCCTAGATGTTGCAACTTATGATTTATTTTCCTAATAAATCAACCTTATGGCAAACAAAGGATTTCTTCACTCCTCCAAAGACTAACATATGACATTGCAAGTTAGGGTCATCTGTCTCACAACTATTCATTGTCAATTTCACGTGCATGGATGCCTGTGAAAGTCTTTGAGTGGCAAATGTTTCTACAGTGCCACCTTGCCCTTCCTTTTCAGAAAGGAATGCGTTCCTGAGCTCCATACCCCAGAATCTAACACTTCCATTCTGCCCACATCACACTGTTTACCCTGCAGCTTGGTCTGTGTTGCCAGGCCAATTCAATGTCCTTAGCACTTGGTCCCCAACCTTTCACTGGTTTTTTTATATTTGGTCAGTATATGGACTCTATTTCCAGTTAAAAAAAAAGTTAATTTGGGCTTCCCTGGTGGTGCAGTGGTTGAGAGTCTGCCTGCCGATGCAGGGGACATGGGTTCGTGCCCTGGTCCAGGAAGATCCCACATGCTGCGGAGTGGCTGGGCCCGTGAGCCGTGGCCGCTGAGCCTGCGCATCCGGAGCCTGTGCTCCGCAACGGGAGAGGCCACAACAGTGAGAGGCCCACGTACCGCAAAAAAAAAAAAAAAAAGTTAATTTAAGTCAGGGTCAAAAGTCAAAGCATTTCAAATAGTGGGTGATAAACATACATGAAAGTGGTTTATAAAGTAGGAAAGACTTTGGAAACTGTAAATAGCCAAGCTAATATTGGATATTACGGATTTTCTGAATTAATGGATATGGTTACTAGGGCAGAAGTTTTTGTCAGCATGAAAGACGTTGAACCAGAGAGGGACAGGAGGCAGAAAACCTAGAGAAGAAAGGTTGGAAGCTTCTTCATAAACCTGCCCACCACGGAAGAACAGTCTTCTCTTAGGCCTGTCGGGTCAGAGCTTTTTGCTCAGGTCACCTAAGCTTGCACCATCCTCCTCTGGCAGCTTTTCAAATTCCACCCTTTCCAGCCACAATCTGAGAGCATTTGCCTGACCCCTACTCCAGAGGGTAAAACTGTTTGTCAGCATTTCACCTAGGTCCTTGACCCCGCATGAGCTCCAACTGGACCATTCATTCGGTGTTATTCATAGAAACAGTGTCTTCAAAGAATCAAAGCAGGAGTCTTCAAAAGCAGTTTGCAAGTGAAATGTGACTCTCCCAGGCCAGTGGCCATGCACTAGAGACACATGACTGAGCTGGTTTCAGGCTGAGCTGCATGATTTGCTGGCAAGTGCCAGTTCCCAGGGAGCCGCTGCCCCCTTGTGGCTCAGCACTGGCCAGGAATTATTCCGTGACGGGGAGAACACTTGGCAAAAGTCTGTAAAAGATTATTGGTGGGCTCTTTCTGGCCCTTAGATTTGTTGGTTCAAATAAAATTTCCTTTCATCTCATGGCTTTTTAATATGTAATATTTCTTCCTTCTTTTAAGAAAATGAATTTTTAAAAGGCATATTTTATCATAATTATAAAAGTAGTATATACTCCTTGAAGAAAAATTTGTGTAAAATTATTTAATTTTGTTAATTTTTGATGTATTTCCTCCTTAATTTTTTTATTTCTCCATATAAGGAAACCTGATTTTACTTGGAGACAGAAAAAAAAGCCACAGAACTATGGAATCTAATTTTATCATAAATGTATAAACATGATCTCTACAATAAGAAAATCAACTTTTGAATATGCTAGAGTACTAAGAAACAGTTGCCTTTTTTTTTCACAAAATTTAAAATGTAAAGGGTGGCATTTTAGATCATAGAACTTCATAAACTTTGCCTGTAATTTCAGTTCTATGGATTAAGATTACTATAGTGAATGCAATTATTAGACACATTAAATTGAATATTATCTCAATTTCAAGACAGAAGAATGAAACTCCTTGCTCTAAAGATAGCCTGTGAGAGTTATGGTAATTTAGCAGTGTAAATGATCCAGTCATTGGCAAATGCTTCAGATGTGATTTCAGATGTGCTTTCAGATGTGATTGGTCATATTTCTAAATGTCATGTAGATATGTCGCTTCCCCCAACTATGGAGAATGTAGAAACAAAGGCTTGGATCTGGGCATTATAGGAGGAGATAAGAATGAGTCGTTTGTGTCTCTAAATTACTTTCCTTCTATATCTTGTCTGTGTCATCTAGTTGTGTATACAATATAATATAAATATGGGGGATGGTGTCAGAGACAGTCTGTGGACAAGAACAGGAATGAGCTGGGAGGAAGTTAAACATATCTTTAGCTTCTTTATCTGATCCTTTATTTTCCTTTGAGACCCTGTGACTAAGAGAATATTTCAGTGTGGGTCAGGATCAATCCCGATTGGGGGTTTGGGGAGCAACAGGGGAAAGGAGCCCTGTAACAAGAGTTCTCAATCTTTTTGATCCACAGATCACTTTAACTTTTTTCTATAGGAAGAAATTCCACAGTCCACCTACTTCTTGTGTATCACTTTAAAAAAATGTATATTAACATATTACCACTTTCAACACAGAAAAAAACAGAACTTCCTTATGTAAAGACAGCCTTTACAGAATTATGGGGAATTATGTACTTTGGTCATTTAAATGATCCAGTTATTGGTGATTGCAAATGGCCATTACTATGCATACATACAAATTAATACTGTATAAACTTAATTTCACAAAAAAGTCTGCTGAATATTAAATAAGTATAATACCTCAAGGCCTCTGATCACTGTTACTATACATTTCTATATGTTAACATGATTAATCGGTGCCCTATTTTTGGTGCTCTGCGTTTTAAATCTACTTTTATTCTTTGAAATATGTAATATTCAAATCTAATTCATGGTGGAAAATATTTATCCCATATATTTTAGTGGGATTTGCATTTTAGACTCATCTATGGAGATGATCTGAAGGGTCCAGAGAGATCTACTTCACCAGCTTTTTATAAAAGTAGTAACATAGGGTGCTCTACTCTAGGGCATGTGAAGGCAGAGCAAAAGATGGGGCCCACGTTTCTCAAGCTGCAGTTCATCAGAGCTGAGGATGCAGAAAGCCAACCAAGGCCACAAGTACCTGTGTCAGGTTCACAGCTCTAATCCTCCTGGCCTGTGGTTTCTCTTACCATCTCAGTTGAACACCTTCACTGTGATAGAGACTATTGGAAAGAATTCCTCATGCTCCAAGGAAATTTGTTAGTTTTACCTCTCATCTATCTACTCCAGCTTTCTGCCATCCTTGCCAATTTCTAAAGGGAGAAGAGGAAATTACAAAACTGAAAGCTAATGCTGAACCAGTGATTAGCGGTAATTACCAACTTGATGTCTACTGATCAGATCCAGAGAGACAATGCCATTTTGGGCAACTCTCAACCCAGTTGCTCCTCAGTTTACACATCTGTAAAGGACATTGGTCCAGTTATACTTCAGTCTGTACTAGTTCAAACTCTAGGAATATGTATTTCATACTTGGGCTTCACAGACAGAAAAAGTGTTTGGTTTAGCCAAGAAAAACAAAACCAAACCCAGTGTATCAAAATAACTTTATACCTTAAAAAAAAGATAAATAAATAGTGCTTTCTTAAAAATAAATACTGTTGATCAAATATTCCAATAAACTAGGATGTAGATCACTTAATGTCAAGACTCATGGCCAGGTGAGCCACGTCCCGCACCTGGTGAGGAAGTGGCTGTCCCTGGAGGTTGAATGAGAGTGATTTCTTTCTGACTGTTGCAACCTGCTTTACCGCCTGAATTTCAGACTCTCCTGCTGTTCAGAATACTCTTACCTTCCTAAATCTGGCCATAGAATACAGAAGCCAACAGAACTGACTTAAGCTAGCCAGCCCACAAATAGATATTAAACACCTGCTGTACGTCAAGCTAGGAATATAGTAGAGAAGATGACAGGTAAGTGTTCTAGCCTCATGGAATTTATAGTCTATAGCAGACATCAGGTTTTTAGTTTCCAGAAGTGAGAGTTGTTTGCTTTTCAGAGAAACTTAAGAGTATGATCCTATAGGCTCTGCATGAACAGGGCTATGTTTCATTCCTCACTGTAGACCCAGTGCTCAGTACATAATAGATATCCACAAATGTTCATGGCATAATTGAGGGAATAATCAGATATAAACTGGATACTTAACAAAAGACCTAAACCAAGTTTGAGATATGCTCCAAGAGTTTGTTCAAGATCATCTGGACATTCAGTCCCTTTTTCAGAGTAATGAAGGAAAAAATTGCAGTTCACTGTTGGCCGAGAGTCAGAACCTTGTTTCCTTTGTGGTGTGTGGGTTGTGTATTTGTTTGCCAGTTTGCGGGGGAAGGAAGGAATTCAGGGAGGTTAGTGGTTTTGTTATTATTTTGTGAAGCCTCCTGGGCTATTTTTTTCTTCCTTTAATCAACAAATATGCACTATGCTAGGCATTGTCCCAGGCACTGAAGAAACCATGATGAGCAGGACTGGCGAGAACTCTGTCCTCTGGGATCTTCTATTTCAGAACTCTCCATGGACTGGTGGGCTATTCTTTTCTCCACTTACTTTGGATGACTCTAATGATTACATACCACTTTTATAATGAGAACCTTTTTAAGAGGGTAAAAAAAGAGACTTCTTCAACAAAGTATGGATATAAATCTGAGTTTTCAGTACAACTCTGAGTGAGCATATTTGGGCAGCACTGCTTCCATTGCACAAAATGAAAAGACTAGGCACTAGTTCACCACAGGGAGTATGTAATTAGGCACAACCTTTTCAGAAAGAAATTTTGCAGTTTCTTTCAATATTTTAAATTTTTTTATCTTCTAACTAAGTGATTCCAGTCTTTTGAATTTATCCTACAGAGTGCTTGCACAAATAAAAAAGGATATATATATATATATATATATATATATATACACACACACACATATATGTGCAACATTATCTGTGATGGTGGAAAATGAAAAGTAACTGAAATGTCCATCACTAGAGTATTGCATAATAGGTAATTGTATGTCCATATAATAGAATACAATACTGTTCTCTTTAAAATGAAGTACAGGGCTTCCCTGGTGGCGCAGTGGTTGAGAGTCTGCCTGCCGATGCAGGGGACACAGGTTCGTGCCCTGGTCCGGCAAGATCCCACATCCCGCAGAGCGGCTGGGCCCGTGAGCCATGGCCGCTGAGCCTGCGCATCCGGAGCCTGTGCTCCGCAACGGGAGAGGCCACAACAGTAAGAGGCCCGCGTACTGCAAATAAATAAATAAATAAAAATAAAATGAAGTACAGACTTAGGAAAATATCATGATATATTGTTATAGGATCAGGGATAAAGCCAAAAAACAGCGGGGTTTTTTCTTAAAAGTATAGTTTTGTATAATATAGCCAACATTTCAGGTGTTCTGAGCTCCTTACATATATCTTATTTACATCTCACAACAACCCTATGAAATAACTACTATTATCATCCTCACTTTCCAGGTGAGGAAACTGGGTCAAATTGTAACTTGCTTAATGAACACAGATACCTGACTTTGAGCTCACGTACTTAGTCACTCTGCTATATCCAGGATCCAATTACACAATTCTCTCTTTAGCTTAGACTAGTTTCAGTTGGGATTTTCAACTTTCAACCAAGGGAGTTCTCATAAACAATCCAAATATAGATCAATAAAAACTAGATAAATTATGACACAATGATATAATGAAATGCTATGTAGCTCTTAAAAGGAGGAAGCTACATATATTAACATGAAAACAAACAAGGGAGAACAAGTTTACAGAATATATATGTGTATATATATGTATATATATTTTTACATCTTTATTGGAGTATAATTGCTTTACAATGGTGTGTGGGTTTCTGCTTTATAACAAAGTGAATCAGTTATACATATACATATGTTCCCATATCTCTTCTCTCTTGCGTCTCCCTCCCTCCCACCCTCCCTATCCCACCCCTCCAGGCGGTCACAAAGCACCGAGCTGATCTCCCTGTGCTATGCGGCTGCTTCCCACTAGCTATCTACCTTACATTTGGTAGTGTATTTATGTCCATGACTCTCTCTCGCTTTGTCACAGCTTACCCTTCCCCCTCCCCATATCCTCAAGTCCATTCTCTAGTAGGTCTGTGTCTTTATTCCTGTCTTACCCCAAGGTTCTTCATGACATTTTTTTTTCTTAAATTCTATATATATGTGTTAGCTTATGGTATTTGTCTTTCTCTTTCTGACTTACTTCACTCTGTATGACAGACTCTAGGTCTACCCACCTCATTACAAATAGCTCAGTTTTGTTTCTTTTTATGGCTGAGTAATATTCCATTGTATATATGTGCCACATCTTCTTTATCCATTCATCCAATGATGGACACTTAGGTTGTTTCCATCTCCGGCTATTGTAAATAGAGCTTCAATGAATATTTTGGTACATGACTCTTTTTGAATTATGGTTTTCTCAGGGTATAGGCCCAGTAGTGGGATTGCTGGCTCATATGGTAGTTCTATTTGTAGATTTTTAAGGAACCTCCATACTGTTCTCCATAGTGGCTGTACCAATTCACATTCCCACCAGCAGTGCAAGAGGGTTCCCTTTTCTCCACACCCTCTCCAGCATTTATTCTTTCTAGATTTTTTGATGATGGCCATTCTGACTGGTGTGAGATGATATCTCATTGTAGTTTTGATTTGCATTTCTCTAATGATTAATGATGTTGAGCATTCTTTCATGTGTTTGTTGTCAGTCTGTATATCTTCTTTGGAGAAATGTCTATTTAGGTCTTCTGCCCATTTTTGGATTGGGTTGTTTGTTTCTTTGTTATTGAGCTGTATGAGCTGCTTATAAATTTTGGAGATTAATCCTTTGTCAATTGCTTCATTTACAAATATTTTCTCCCATTCTGAGGGTTGTCTTTTGGTCTTGTTTATGGTTTCCTTTGCTGTGCAAAAGCTTTCAAGTTTCATTAGGTCCCATTTGTTTATTTTTGTTTTTATTTCCATTTCTCTAGGAGGTGGGTCAAAAAGGATCTTGCTGTGATTTATGTCATAGAGTGTTCTGCCTATGTTTTCCTCTAAGAGTTTGATAGTTTCTGGTCTTACATTTAGGTCTTTCATCCATTTTGAGCCTATTTTTGTGTATGGTATTAGGGAGTGATCTAATTTCATACTTTTACATGTACCTGTCCAGTTTTCCCAGCACCACTTATTGAAGAGGCTGTCCTTTCTCCCCTGTACACTCCTGCCTCCTTTATCAAAGATAAGGTGACCATATGTGCGTGGGTTAATCTCTGGGCTTTCTATCCTATTCCATTGATCTATATTTCTGTTTTTGTGCCGGTACCATACTGCCTTGATTACTGTAGCTTTGTAGTGTAGTCTGAAGTCAGGGAGCCTGATTCCTCCAGCTCTGTTTTTTGTTCTGAAGATTGCTTTGGCTATTCGGGGTCTTTTGTGTTTCCATACAGATTGTGAAACTTTTTGTTCTAGTTCTGTGAAAAATGCCAGTGGTAGTTTGATAGGGATTGCATTGAATCTGTAGATTATGTATATGTTTTATAATAGAAGTTTGTACAGAAAACACAGAAGTATTGATAGTTCAGTGTCATAAAAGCAGTACTGCAATAAAATCCTTATAATACAAGTTTACACAAATGAGTTTCTTTTTGAAATACCATTTTATCAGTTTTTTCCTGAGCATAAAAGTCTTCCAAGCTCACTGTAGTAGGCAATGATTGTTTACTTAGGAGAGGAGAATGGGACTAGAACAGGGAAACTCTTTCACCTCACACATTTCTGAATTGCTTGAATTTATTAGTAGCCGAGTTTATGTGATGAAAACCCAACTTAAACTGCTAAAAACAAACAAAAAATGTGTTGTGGGGGATATTGAATGGACAGCATGCCAGTTCACAGAATCAAAGGAAAAGCTGACCAACTAAGCATAAACCGTGGCAGGGTAGACAACTGGGGCGCCCCAGGGACCCTACGGCCTGGAACCGGAATGCTGAGCTCCACCAAGACTCTCTGGGTCTCGGGTTTCTGCTCCCCATGGCATATTGGCCTCATGCTCTCCTACTGCAGTCTTTCTTTGTAGTGAGGGATCATGGCTTCCAGCAGCTTTCAGTGACAAAGACTCTCAATCCCACCACCTAAAAGGAAAAGGGCTCTTCTCTGAGGGAGGACTCTGAATGGTCAGAAACCCACTGCAGACCAACCTCTGTGACCAGGGTAGGGGAAATTATTACTGGTCATGACCGGTCTAATTTGGACCAGGTGCTCACCCTTCAACCTATCACCAGGGTCAGGGATACAGGATCTTGTAAGAAGGCGGCAGCTCCATTCAGCCAGAAGTCTGGAGTGGAGTGGAGAAGGAGAGTGGGAAGCAGAAACAGTGCTTTTTTGGAGCAGAAGAAGGAAGAGCTGCTGGGCAAAACAGGTGACTAGTGTATGCTACATGAGCATAATTTTCTTCTAAATATTTTTAAGTTATTTTCATCATGTGTATATATACATATATACATTCAAGTGCCAAGAATGTATTTATAAGGATATTCTCTGAAATAGTTTTATAATCATTAAAAACTGTAAGCAGCCTATAGTTAACATCTACTGATATTTTGTCTTCTTGAATTTTTCCCTCTGGGAACATTGCACCCAAGTGCTCATCTCAGCTGAACCAATCACATATCACCGTACTTCCTGTGACTACAGCAATTGGCCTGAAGGGTGGGTGTGTGATCCAGCGTGAACCGATTTGTCTTGGCCCAGAAAAGGGTCATTCTCTTTTCAGGTAGTGAGGCAGTGGGGCTGTGACTCAGGCAGACTTTTTCACCTGGAGCTGTTACAAAAGAGTCATCTCCTGTCAGGTCAGGAAGCTGCTAGGATATGATCTGGAGCCGCCAATTCTGCCTCCCACACAGGGGGTAAAGCTAGTCTATGAAGGAAGCTGTTTATGCTGAAATAAACAGAGATGAGACACGAAGAGACAGGGAGTCCTGATGGGTTAGAGGCCCTGGTCCCAGGCACCCTCTGAGGCTAACGCGCCCCTGCCCCGTCCCCCCACTCTTCTGCAAATATGACTAAATGGGCCAATTTCCTCCTTACCTAAGGCTAGTTTGAATTGGGATTCTTCCAGTTTCAGCCACGAGACTCCTAATATCTGACTACAGATCAATAGAGCTGGGTAACTTATGGCACAATAAAATACTTTTAAGTGTAGCTTTTAAAAAGAACAAACTACATATATTGACGTAAAAAACAAATATAAGGAGAGAAGCAAGTTTATAGGGCAGGGGTGTGTTTCTGTGTGTGATTTTATATACACCACATACTTACGGAGACTGTGTTCCAAAAGGTTAATATTGGTTACCTCTGGAGGCTAGTATGGGAAAGACTTTCATTTTTTAAATATATTTCTGTATATATTTTTAAAAATAAATTTATTTATTTATTTTTGGCTGCGTTGGGTCTTCGTTGCTCTGCATGGGCTTTCTCTGGTTGAGGCGAGTGGGGGCTATTCTTCATTGCAGTGCACAGGCTTCTCATTGCGGTGGCTTTTCTTGTTGCGGAGCATGGGCTCTAGACTCGCAGGGTTGAGAAGCTGTGGCACGCGGGCTTAGCTGCTCCACAGTATGTGGGATCTTCCCAGACCAGGGCTCAAACCCGTGTCCCCTGCATTGGCAGGCGGAGTCTTAACCACTGCACCACCAGGGAAGCCCTCTGTGTAGTTTTTTTAACTTTCTGAAAATCATATACCACTTTTATAAAACTTTTAAGCCAAAAATAACTACAGGACATAATGTAATTGTGGCACATTTATGTTATACAACTTCCCACTTCATTGCCTCTATTCCATTTAAGAACAG